TTCCGCGGTTCTAACGATCTTTCATTCGTTCACCGGAAATCATTATGTTCGGAGTTATAGCAATTCAAAGTTTTTCTAATTTTAATAGAATTTGATCAGGTTTAAGTCAAACGATAAAATTACTCTTCTCTTTACACGACGATATCTCGATAATCGAAAATCGTATCGAGATGAATCGAAAAGCGTTTAAAGCGCAAAATTCCGCGGTTCTAACGATCTTTCATTCGTTCACCGGAAATCATTACGTTCGGAGTTATAGCAATTCAAAGTTTTTCTAATTTTAATAGAATTTGATCAGGTTTAAGTCAAACGATAAAAAATTATACTTTTCTTTACGCGATGATATCTCGGGAACCGGATATGATATCGAGATGAATCGAAAAACGTTTTAAAGAGGAAGATTCCATCTTTCTAACGATCTTTCATCCATCCATTCGACGATCACTATTTTCGGAATAAATTTTCGCTTTAAAATTAGGAAATATTTTTTCTCAATAGATACGTTTCCGGAAGAAAAGCGCGAGAAGGAGATTAATTTTATAATTGATTTCAGTGGTGATGGACGTACCGTTGAATCCAGAAGCGGACACGGGCGGTTTCAGCCTGATCTATAAACAAAATATACCCGATTTCCGACCCTATCTCGGCCCCTGCCTCTTCGTGTTCGGCAAATCGATAACGCTGGTCGAGCATCCGCGGAAACGAGATAAGAAAAAGAAGAACGGTTGGGCGAAATCGCAACAGCAGCAGCAACAGCAAACGCAGCAGCAGCAACGCGCGTGGACCGCCCCGCCGATGATTCCACGCCTAAGGGAGCCGAAAATAGTCGACTTTATCGACTATTTGAACACGGCTCGGTGTACAGCGGCCAACTGAATATTCCCATCGTTACCGCCGATGCATTCGTCCGATCGTTTACCGGATCGGGGAATCCGGCCACGAGAAATCGCCTTTTCCAACTTTAAGTGAATAAAGGGGACGGTGAACTCTGCAACCTCGATACGGGGAAACGTGGAACAGTCGTTTTAAAGTCGGGACGACCCAGTTTTTCGCGGGGAAGGTCGAACATTGAAAATGGTTCTGGTTTAGGCGCACGCGTTCAACCTTTGTGCCCGACCAGTTGAAAGAGGAGGAGGAGGAGGAGGAGGAGGAGATGGAATTCTCTCTTCCCGGAAGAATCGGGAATCGCGTTCAACGCGTTATATTCTCAACTCGGCGGCATTAGAGGACACGAAATTTCTTTTTTGTATCCGTCGCTCGAGAGAGGAGTATATCTCGTTGGGCCACGATTTTCTTCCGACTTCCACTTCCGTTTAATCCGCATTCAGCGCGTATATGTGAGGGGGTATGCGAGTTGCACCGTGCTCATTAATTGACGCACGATAACGAGAGATAAAAGTAATCGACGGTGTCGTTAGCAGTATCGTCGCTATGTCATCGTTTCTTCGACTGAAAACGTGATCGTGGAAAGCTGAAAAGTAAAGTCCACTTTTTTTTTTTTTTTCCGATTTCTTCTTTCGTTCTATTCATGGTGCGATAGAAACGAATTTTTTAGTAGTTTATTATATACACATACACCGTTATGAACCAATTTTTTTTTCTTTTTTTTTTTGTATCGAATAATTTTACCATACGATGAAAATCGTTTCTGCATAACGTTTTTCTAAATAATTTATGAATAATTTGAAATGAAACATTTGGAAAACATATTAAAAAAAAAAATTTTTTTTGCGTTTATCGGCTAATTTTTGGGTAATTCGGTAGAGAAAAATATATATATATATATATATATTTATATATATAAAATTTGTTCCCCTCTGATAATATTTAGAGAAAAGAGAAGTGAAAAAAAGGTAAAGACAATCGTTTTTATTGATATGTACATACAATAAATTTATTTACAAATAATACAATAAATTTTTGAACGTCGGTACGTTATTCGCCCTTGATGATATATCTTAACAAAATACTACGCTCTTATCGATTATTGTGCCGTGCTGATATATCGAAAACTCTTTGGTCACGGAAATTGAATGTAAATGTAGGTAATTATCCGGTTTTTTTACCCTGCGCAAATATTTATATCCGAGCGAATGTTATCGGATCAGTTAACAGAGGCAGTGCGAATCATTCACGAAACCGCGCGAAAATTCCGGGTAAAAATTCTCTTAATCCCTTCTCCCTTTAATCTCTTCGATCCTCTATATATACCCCCCTCCCTTATACAAATATTACATTGGCTACTATTAAAATTATAAAACACATTGGCAGTGTCTCGGCGTACGACGAACTTCCATCTCCGTGATGCATGGCGGCCGGCCTTTCCTCTGCAACACACAATCGTTTCCCCTCCGTTATTTATTTATTCATTTAATTTGTTCAATCTTATCTATTCATTTTCAAACGAACGATTCTTCTCCGCGTGATTTCAAAATTCGCGCCTCGCCTTTGCGTCCCCTGTTCGTCGCTGTAACGGCGACAAACAACAAGGGGGCCGGCCCTTCGATCGATTCGTGAGGGAACGATCAAGAGAAAGAACAAGGGAGCAGACGTTTCGCTGATGACGGTGATAAATCACCGGTCGTTGCACACCGACCGACGTGTCGCATCGATCCGCATTCGCGTCAGGTAAGGGAGGTGTATCGCGACCCATTGTACCGAGCAATTAACGCTTGAAGTTGATAAATAACCAGCCGGAAACTCGGGCTTAACTTATTTCGAATTATCCACCGTCTCCATCGTTCTCGCTGCCCGGGAACAGGTTGATAAGGTACGACGAGATTGATAATTTACCGGATAAAACCATGTTTATCGATCTTATTCTCTCCATCGATATTTTTTCTAAAATTTCTAATTTCATTTCGAAGGAGGAAAGAAAAAAAAAATAAAAATAAATAAATAAAAGTAAATTTGAAAGGAGGCAGAAATCCCGGAAAATTTCGTTTTGTAAAAATTTTCGAGAGAGAGAGAGAGAGAGAGAGAGAGAGAGAGAGAGAGAGAAAGAGAGTGAAACCGGACTACGATGAAACGTGAAACCGCGTGGCGCGTTTAAGCTCGTTCCTTCCCCTCCGCCTTGCTATTCGAGTTGGCAACAGTGTCAACTTCGCGCCTCCGTATCCACTCGTCGAGATTCCACTGTCGACGTAACGCCTCTTTACGAATTTTTAAATTCTAACCGTCTCCCTCTCTCAGTCCCCCCTCCTCTCCCACTCTCTTTGCTCGATCGATTCGAACAAAACGTCGACTCTAGAGCGTATCTCTCTTTCGTCTCTTTCGTCTTTGGAACGAGAGGCGAGTTTTCGAGGAGGAAAAAACGAATTTCGATCAACTGGGAAAAGGTCGAAAAATCGGGCGATTCTCAGCAGAGTGGGATTCGCAATGCGCGTAACGCGAATATTTTCCACTCCGTACCGAGTCGACGAACACGAGTGTAGATTGCATCGCGTGGATTTCGGTCTATTTTATGACGGTTGTAATGGGAATTTTTTACATCGTGGCGGGTGACGTGAATGTACGCGTCATAGAGGAATTCTTGTTCTACGGCGATATACAATATGATCGGATCGTGAGAATTTCCTATTCTATGCTAGTTGAGGATCGTATTGCGAGGATTTTTCTACTTTATGACGGTCATGGGGATTTCTTATTCCGTGACGGGTGACGTGGACGTACGCGTCATGGGGGATTTTTCGATTCCGATGGCGATACATGATCGGATCATTCGGGGATTTTCTATCCTGTGTTAGTGGACGCACACGAAGATTATTCTATTTTATGACGGTCATGGTAGATCTTTTATTCTGTGACGGTTGACGTGAATGGTTACGCGTTCTAGGGATTTCCTATTCTACGATCATTTCCCTATATTTATAACATGGCAGGTGACGTATGTATCGCGAAATTTTCTCTTCTATGATAATCGATGCATACGATCGCGTCGTGGAAAGATTTTTTTTTTCTATTCGACGAGAATGTACGTGAATGTCATGGGGAGATTTCATATTCTATCGGCGTGAACGTACGCGTAATGGGGGAATTCCTGTTCTACGGCTAACGACATGGACGCACGCGTCACGTAAATTTTCAACTGCACGGCGATATACGATTTTCCCGTATATTATACACGTGACAGGTGACGTATGTATCGCGAAATTTTCTCTTCTATGATAATACGATCGCATCATACGAAAATTCTTTTTTTATTTCTATACGCGTCAAAGGATCGTACCATGCATTTTTTCCCCAAGAAAGATGAGAAAGAAAAAAATTTTTTTTTTCTCATGTATTCGATTTTTCTCTCGAGCACGAAAATAATATAGTACAAGTATTGTCATTAATATGCACAATCACTTTTGGATTCCGTTACATCTCTCGCCATTCTCCAACTATCTTTCGTATTTGAAAATCAATCCGCAGGTGGGAGAATTCGCGGTTCGAGATTCTCGATTTTTAAATCGCGTTTGAATCGCGTTTAAACATTCTCCCCTCTTCTCCCCCCCCCGCACTATATATATTTTCTCTATCCTTTCTTTCTTTTTCTCTTCTTTTTTCATTTTTCTGATCGTAGAAGAATTCAACGCGTTCACATCACGAGAGATTAAACTCTTGGGTTGAAAAGGATTAGAAAATTTCGTTTCGCACGTTCAACTCACCGTCAACAACGTGCACCTTAATTCTGTTCGGATTCGCGTTGCTCGGCTCGCAGGTATATATCCCAGAGTCGGTGATCACCGCTTTCTGGATCATTAAACGGCTCGTCGTTTCTGGCCCTTTCTCCGTCACCAGGCTGATACCTCCCCGCGGCGAGTCGAAGTTAATTACCTGCAACGAGAGATAAAAACATCTTTATTTTTCTCATCCCATTTCCTTCCTCCCTTTCGTCGATTCTCTTTCAATCCTTCGCGGATATGTGTGTGTGTGTGTGTATGTGTGTGTATTATATATAATATAATAACACACAGACGCGCGTGCGCGTACGTATATATACATGTTTTTTCCTTTATTTTTTTTATAGAAAATAGGAATCGAAATCGATGAAATACAACTAAATTTTTAAAAAATAAAGAGGTTACGTTAATCTTTCTCTAAAGCAGTCTGATAAATTCTTCGATTCACTTCGTGAAAATCAAACGGTCAGAGGAAAGAAGAAAATTCTCCGTTCCCCCTTCCCCGGATTAAGTCCGGATTACTTCTTCGGAAGGGAAGGGAGAAAAAATTGCACTTGTACAGGATTTCAAGCGAAGGGAGAAGACGCTTGTAAACCGTGGAATATATATATATATATAAAGATATATATTCGTCGCGTTTCGTTGCATTCGTTGAATGGAAGCGCAGGAGATATACGGTTTTCTCCCCTTTTTATTCGATTTAACGTTGAAAAAAACGTTATTTAACGCGGGCATACGTTTGTACAGAGGGGAAAGAGGAGTACAACCGAATCGTATTTATCCTTCAATCAGTAGATTTAATAGAATCCACAATAACAGGATGGATCCGTTTGAAGGAGAAGAAATATGTTTGTTTTTTTTTTTTTTTTTTTTACACAAATATAATACACGTTGACCTACTTTTTCCCTCCTCTCTCTCTCTCTCTCTCTCTCTCTCTCTCTCTCTCTCTCTCTATTTCGCGATTTATTTACCTCGGGATTTATTTCTTTACTCGACCAGGAGAACGGCAATGTTTCGTGATATAATTTGAACAGCTTCATTTTTTTTTTTTGAGCTGTGCTTTACAAACCACTGTGAAACTGTAAACTGTTGTTGTTGTTGTTGTGTTGTTGTTGTTGTTGTGACGTTAATGCGTCTCTTTCGTTGAAATTAATCCTTTGAACGAACGCCGCCGTCGCAACATCAATGTAAATTAAGTTAAATTTAAAGTTAATAATAACAATATTATTTCTCTTTATTCCTAATATCCATTGTTTTTATATAGTGTAACGAAAAATATTTTTAAACTTCTCTCTCGGTCGAACGCAACGTAGACCCTTTTCTTAAATAAATAATCCAAAGCTCGGCAAATTGTTGATCAAGAAATTGCTTCGTTGCGTTTATATACACACTCGAACTAAACGATACACACAGAAATACACGACGAATATTCCTTTTCAAAATTTATAATACTGCTTTCGAAAAAGTTCTTAAAAAAAAAAAAAAAGAAATTTTCGATTAAAACAATTCTTTTGGAAGGGGAGCGAAGATTAACCGCGTAAGTTTTCCCCGATTTTCGGGATGAAACGCCGTGACTGATGCGTGCGCGCTTTCTTTCTCAAAGAAAGAACAGAGAGAGAGAGAGAGAGAGAGAGAGAGAGAGAGAGAGAGAGAGAGAGAGAGAGAAAACAATTTCGCAATCATTTCCTCGAAGCACTCCATGCGGCCGGTTTCTCATTTATTTATACATGGAAAAGCGAACACAACATTCAGTGGATACTCGCATTGGCCTGTAATAAAACAGGAGGACAAAAGGTATTTCTCGTTTCGCGAGAAGAATGCTCTCCCGTATTCCCTTTGAGCGAAAGGGAACGAAGCGAAAAACGAACGCCCGGATTAATAAACACGCGCCCGGCCCACGTGCTATCCTCGACGAATCGAATCGAGAGCGTCGCGAGGACCCCCCACCACCTCTCGAGAGAATTATACCCACCTCACTGTTGTGACTCCAGATCATCATGGGCGGTGGTTCCGGGGCGTACTTCACTACGCAGGTTAGGTTGATCGTGCTACCCTTGTTCACGAACAGGTCAGGGGCTCCTATGATGATGGTGATCGGTTCTGAAACGAAGTTTTTTCTTTTTTTCATTTTTTTTTTTGGCGAGATTCGGTTCACGGAGATGCAAAAACAAAATATAAAAGTGATTCTTGACGATCAGAATTACAACGATATCATTTTTATTTTTGATATATGTCGTTATATATAATTTTTTGCAACTTTGATCAAGAATTCTTTTATATATATATATATATTTTTTTTTTTAGGGTCGTTTAATTTATGGATCGATAGATTTATCTATAATTTTGTCATTGGTAAAACAATTAGTAATTTGTCTCATAAAATATATTCACCTGCGTCAATAATTTTTAAAAATGTATTTTATTCGTTATTCGTTTAATAAATCCAAATAAAAAATAATGACGATTATTCGAAAAAGTCGGAATCTTTATCAGGATGGATTTCGATGATTTTTAGATACGTTATAAAAAATCAACATTTCTTTTATATATGTGAGTACATATACGAATACGCGTTATTTTTGTTATCTCTAATTCTCTTTAATGTAAACACGCACGGGAGTGACCTGGTAAGTGAAAACATACAACGGATGAATTAATCGAATATCAACGGGTTCACAAGATACAAAAATAAAATGTAAAACGATCCTGATGATCAAAATCAAAAAACAATAATAATTGAAATTATAACGAATATCAATATTATTTTTACTTTTGATAATCTATCGTTGTAATTTCGGTTCTTACAACAACTTTGATCGCTCTTTTTCTTTGCATTTCATACATTTTAAATGATCGAGCAAGAGATTTTTTATCATCGATTCATTCCTTCTTCTAATATAGATAAAAATTACTCATTTACCTACAATTAAAATATAAATTTTTATTTATCACTTACGACGTAAAAATAAAGCACTAAGTAAATTTTATTCATATAGCTATAGTTGACCGCCGCTCGGTTAATTGCCTCGCTCACCGTTCAACCAGAATTTTCGTTTAATTTTTACCTTTTAAATCGTAAGTTTGAACTGTATTTTCTCATTTTTAACATTTTGCTTTTAAATTGAAACGACGACGGAGTAGTGTGAAAACACGCGGTTTCTTTTTCTTTTTTTGAATTTCGAATCGAAAGAAAAATATTTTTAAAACGAGACATCGAAAAAGGATCGAACGATGAGAGAGAATATACGAAAGCGTACGTTGGCAAAGCGTTTTCAGGTCAAGTCAGCGCGATAAGATCTCTCCCTCCCTTCTTCCCTCTCTCCCACTCTCCCTCTCTCTTTCTCTCTCTCTCTCTTGTTTAATAGTACGAGAAGGTGAGGAGGATATCGGACCAGTCATTAAAGGCTAGGATATACGAGCCCGCGGACGGCCTCGTTTCGAAAACCCGCCTTTGTAACGCTCGCGTGAAATCTTCCGCGTATCCTCGATTAATCCCTTTCGCTACACATTTATCTTCTAACCGAATTTCAAACGCATCGATCGAGAAATACTTTACGCTCGTTTTCTTCTCTGCCAACGACGAAAATTCTTCCCGATCTTTCTCCAACTAGCGCGAACTATTTCTCTCGTATCAGGTTACTTAGGTTTTTTTCTAAATTTCTTCTTAATATATTTACGCGGATGGAAATTTTAGACGGAATACGCTCGATTTAAGAAAGATCGAGAAAGAAGAGTGACGAGTTCTATCTTTTATGAAATTTATCGTATATATTTTTTTTTCAAGTTCGAATTATATTATATGTTTCGGCGAGGAATTAAGGATATAATTTTTGTGAAATTTATTCTCGATTTATCGTATCTTTCTTCCAATATTATATATTTTGGTGAAGAATTAAGAAAAGAATATAATTTTTGTGAAATTTATTCTCGATTTATCGTATTTTTTCTTCTTCAAGTATTATATTATATGTTATGAGGATTATATTATATTATATTATATTATATATCGATGAGGAAAAATTAAGGAAAAGGCTATATTTACGTGAATGGGAAATTTTGGAGGGAATACAGTCGATTTAAGAAAGATCGAGAAAGAGGGGAAAAAAATATCGGTTAATTTCGTTTCAAAGGGCAAAGTCTCCACTTTTGCGCGCGCTTTCGAATTGAATTTTTCACAAAAGCCCATTTACACGTAAAGGACAAAACAAGAGGGAAAGTAAAAGTATTTTTTTTCTTCCCCTCGAATATTTAACAAATTCAAAAGATCGTTTCTCGAATAGCGAATCTGTACCCTTTGTACGACCTGCAAATTGTTACGCGATTTCTCTTTAAACTTCTTTTTTTTTTTATCGATGATCGAAAAACGAGCAGCCGAATGTTACACGCTTCACGAATTTCACAAAAGATATATACTTATATTTATGATAAATTTATGCTTGCGTCGTATGAATCTATCGAATTGTTTATAATAAAAATATCAAAGGTGGGAAGAGCTCTTATTCCATGCTTTCGTTTATAACACGCGATTAATTCTTCAGATATGAAAATTCAAACAAATCGAACGTTTCCTTCACAAAAAAATTAACTCGATCGAGCGTTGAAACGATGAGATTTTATATTCTTTTTGATATTTGTTTCGCGCGAGTTCGAAAAATGGACGACTTCAAGATTTGAGGGAACTCAGTTGTTACGAAGATATAATATATACGAATAAAACTGGGAGAGAAGGAAGATATCAAAACAGAAATAATTGCACTCGAAAGTTATTTTTTCCAATCTCATTCTTATAAATCTATTTCTATATTTCGAAACTCTGACGATTAACTAACCAACTAGCTCGTTCTCCAGAGTTTAATGGAACGATGGTCCTTCTTTCGAGAACTTGGAAAAAAAAAAAAAACTTTTCCTCAACTTGGAGAAGAATAAAGTTTTCCATCTTTACTCGAAAGTCTTCCTTACCGACTATAGTCAAGTAAACGGGATGGCCGATAGGCGGTGTCGTTGATATTTGGCACTCGTAAATACCGGAATCCTTCTTCTGAGGATATCGTATCCTCAACGTCCATTCCTCGGCATGGGGAAGGTGCAACGCCTCGAAGCGTTGGTCGCTCGTGTACGTGTAACGGCCGACCGTCAACAGATGTATGTCTCGATGCCTCACCCAGGAAACCTGAAACGAAATACTATAAACAAACTTTCTCCTCCTCCCATAAAAATGAATGATATTCCCCACTCTGCGTTGAGCTCCAACCAATAACCAAAATTGACCCATCACGAGACTCACAGAAGTGAAAATTTGCAACATTTGGCAAATCAATTCGCCAAGCTCTAAAGATTCCCTCGGTTAGAAAAATTATGTATATTCCTTGCTCTTCGATTAGACGCACAATGGACTCAAGAAAAAATTCTTGAAGTACGCGATCCACAGTGACCCGTTTATATAATAATTTTCCTCGAATAGAATGAGGGAATATCATCTATCCAAGCGTCTTAACACCCTTCTAAATTGTCGACGGGAGGAGAAAATAGGCCAATCAAGTCGGATTTTCAATTTTTCCGATATCTCTCTCTCTCTCTCTCTTTCTCTCTCTCGAATGGACGAGAAAAAAGAAAAAAAAAAGAAAAAAAAAAAGGAGAATCTCGATCACGGCACGTGTCATACACTGCATATATGCGTGTCTGCGCTTTAACGATACGTTTAAATCGATTAAAGCTTGCGGCGATATCGATGAAACCGTGGACGTAATTACGCCGAGAATCCGTTTGCTTGGAATCGATGTGCAGCGATGGCCTTAATTGTCGTTCACCGAACGAATGGACGAAAGGAAAATCGCAATGCAATTAATATTACTCGATCTCGGGACGATAATATTACTACGCTCTAGGAACGTGTGATACGAATTGAATTTCTGCGATACGATTTTCGAGCGATTGCGAATAAGGGAGAAAGGGGAAGGGAAGTCTTTGTGACGCAATAATAATAATAATAATAATAATAATAATAATAATAATAGAGGAGAATCGAAATGGATTGGTAATCTATCTATGTGAATAAAAACAGTATATAGTATAAAGAATAAAAGGTTTCTCGAATAAAAATTATTGGCTTTAAAACGGTTTATCTCGCGAAACTCGATCCTATGAAGCGTGAAGGTTAACAAGAACTGAAACTTGAACGCGTTTCGTCCAACAGTTAAATTATCGGTTCTTATTTTTGAGAAAGAATAATTAATTGCATTGGTACAGATGATTTGGTAAATATTTTATTAAGAAAAAATACCATTCTTGAATATAATGTTGCGAAGATTATTTAATGATTGTTTATTGGAAAAAATTATTAATGAGTATTTATAAAAATGTGAGACACCTTTGGAGGATGGATTTTAGACATCGAAACGATGAAAAAAGTTCATATATACATATGTCTAATAAGGATTAATTAACGAGTTATAAGCAGTTTATGTTTATATTAGATAAAGCGAGACGGCGAAAGAACGCTCAACTGGACGCGAGGCAGTACCGTATTGCAATGTCGCATAGCAGAGCCCCTCGATGAAAGTAAGTATACTGATATTTTTTTTATATTGATTATTTGATTTAAAATGAATTTAAATATAAACACTCCACATAAATGACGGAATAAGAAATTAAATTTTTATTCTCGATAAGGATTCTCGAAATTAAATAATTCGTTTTGATTGTTAATCAATTTAATTTAATCATTATAATCGAACTAGTTAGTTTTCTTAATTTTTTCTTAATAATAAATTTGACTAAAATTGACCTTAGCTAAATTATTTAAACTCGAAACGTTTGTTTTTGATATAAAATTTTTAAAACGAACAAATAAATTTGATATGATAATTTTTTAACGAACAATCAAATGGCCAAATACAATTTTCACGAGTCAATTCAAGATAATACTTTTAGCAACCTTTGAACAATTATCAATGATATCGTTTATTGATAATGTAAGTCGAGGTAATCCAAGATAAAAAAATAAAAAAGACAAAGACGAACGTACGTAAGTAAACTGGGTGCGGATTCTCTCCGCGAATCAAGTGGAATCTTGGAATCAGAGGGAGAGGAAGATGAGGATCACATGGAGGATCGTTTCGAGAGTATTTCCTTTCCGCGCATCATCACCACCAGTTCCAATTCCCCATATAACGACGATGTCACTCCAGGCAAGAGTGTGACGTCACCATGGAGACCTGAGTATTGTCCTAGATGGGTCGCCACCAACCTTCCATTCGCGAGAGTTTCCGAGTTCTCGAGATGGCGCTGGTATGTCATCGGCATTAGCCGCAATATTGTTTCGCGAAATTCAACCAAAACCTATACACTATATCTTCCCCGTTGCAGGGGTTATGGATGCGTCAGGCATTGCTTAAACCAAAATTAAAGATAAGTGGAACGATAGTCCATCAAAATGAGCTTTCCTTTTTCGTTATCCTTTACGATTCTTACGTTCATCCAGATAGAAAGAATTGATCGAATTTATTTTCAAAATCAAAGGGGAGAGTCGAATTAATCAAGCCAGACTTTCCAATTAGAAAGTATCGGTTATCGTTCCAGAAAATAGGTGTTGATGGAATTTCTATGAAATTTATTCACGATTAAAAGGTGATCGTGATCTCTGTTTTTAAATTAGGATCATTCTATGTGTTTTCTTTGACGAAAAGAATTTAATTAGAAACTATTGTAGTGACAATCTATCGACAGAATTTTTGTGAAATTTATCCATATTTCTTCCAAATTCGAATTATACATTTTTCGATGAGGAATTAAGAAAAGAATATAATTTTTGTGAAATTTATGTATTTCGATAAGGAATTAAACGAAGGATAAATAGTGTTGCAGTGAAAAATTGGCGACTATTCTAGTGAAACCTGAGTGAAATTTCTGTGAAATTTATATATACCTTACCAAATCCAGTATTTAATTGAAATATGACGTGTTCCGATTAATGAATGTGTATGTAACAGGTGGTTCTGAGATGAAATCTAAAAATTCTAGAGAAAAATCTATCTACGATGATGCGAATTTCTGTGAAGGATTATCGTTCGTGCCTTTCTTCTTTAGTTTATTTTCCCGTTTTGCCACAAGAATCTAGGATCGACAACAAATTTTTCGACGCGAAACTTTTTCGCGAGGAGAGGATGATTTGTATATTTTGATTAAAGCGATCGATAGAAAACGTCGAATCGCGATGTTGCCGCGTTTCCACTGAGAACATGTCAGTGTTGGATGCTCGTCTCACGATTTCCGTTTCCATTGACGCTGCCAGAGATTACCTCTGCTTCTTACCGTGAAAGTAGACAGCGGTGGAAAATGGGATTGGCGAAGAGGGGGAAGGTGGATAGATCTCGAGGAAATAAGGACTCCGGTGATCTTTGTCCGGAAAAAAGGGAGTCTTTTATCCTTATTCGTGCACGTGTGTGCGTGTGTTTGTGTGTATGTATACATTCTTCTCGAGCACATACGTGTTCCAAACGTGCACTTTTCTGATATTCGAGGAGAAACATGCTACTATGTAATGATCTCTGAACGTTTTGTCGCGTCACCTTGTAATCCAACAGGAATTTCAACGACGACGACAAACGATAGATGTTTTTTCAATGCTTTAAATTTCTTTCCTTTTTTCTCCATTTTTTTCTTTTTTTTCCCCTCCCCTTTTAAATTGTTGACGAATTGATCCTTCTCGAAAATCTTGAAATTAAGGATCTGCGAATAATTTTTTAAATTCTTTCTTTTTTTTTTATCGCCATCTTCGAAAATGCAACAACTCTATATATATATATCTTAATAAACAGAGATAATAATCGAGATAATAATTCTGTTTATATATGTATAGGAAATATCTAAATCTGTGATAATAAAACTCGCGGAATTTTAATTTTATTTTTCATCGATTCGTATCGTTGAAAAAAATTAAACGTTTGAAAAAATATTAATTATTCTAATGAAGATAGATTATACGTTTTCTTTGTATTACAAAATTACACGCTATTCATTTTGTTTATACAAAATAGAATGATACTCTATTAAGAGTAATTAAGAGTAATGGATTTCTAATTAAGCTCCTAATGGATTTCTAAAATTATCAAAGGAAAAAAACGAACGAAAATTCATGTTATCATGATTTCATACATATATATATCACACATATATACGCGATACATTTCCTGGAAATCGTTAATATTCATATTCACTTCCGTTTATTTTATACTTGCGCATTAGTTTCCGCGCAAGAGATACGTGTGTACAGTAATTTATTTATCGTTGTCATTATCGCTGTTTGTTGATTCCTTGATTATCATACGTTTATTACTATCTTTATCACGCGCGCGCGCGTGCGCGCATGTGTGTGTGCGTATCTAATTTTCCATTATTAACGATACTCAAAATGAAAATGTTTCGCGAGATTAACACGTTCCACTTGATAATTTTAATTTCGTTTCTTTTTCTCCTTTTTTTTACGCTTCAATATTTTAATACAACATAATAAAAACGATGTTTCGGAATCTTGATGAACAGAGTTCCCTGAATATTCGTTAACTTTTTTTCGAAATCTTTTTGGGCTGGATCGTTGGAAAAAGTGACTCGTGAATTTCGTCTCGTGAATCGAATTATATAATCCTTTCAAAATTTCGGAGAAGCGACCTTTTGTTTCGCCATTTAACTTCCGCAAATTGGTTTAAAT